TCATTTACCCAGAATGCTTTGCGTGTAAATAAAATGGCTCCGTCCATATTAAAATATATTTTTAAAAATTATAAAAACTAAACAGCCCATAGTATTTTTAGTCTTTATTTTACAGTTAAAATATTTGTTTATGTTACAACTAATCGGGGATCCCTTTAAAGGCCCATTATTCTGGGGTCTTTCTGTGTGGAKTTAGAATGTTCTCCCCGTGCTTKTGTGGGTTTTCTCTGTGTTCTACGGTTTCCTCACTCCAATCTAAAAACATGCACRTTAGGCTGCCTTCAGGAGTGATCTCAGTGAGACTTGTCTGGTTAAATAAAGACTAACAAATAAATAAACTTTGGGTATGATGGCACTTTAATAAACCTGACAGTCGTTCACATAACTGCTAACAGATCAGGTAAGGTTACAGGAGACTGCGCAAAGGATTTTCCAAACTGCTTTAACTGTGTCTTTTGTCATCATAAGATGTTTTTAGTCCATATCTCTAAATTGAATGTTGGTGAAGATACATTTCTTTAAGGRGATGCTGTGCCTTTAATCGATTTGGTACTTCAGTGCTGAACAATGCAATTCTAACAATATTTGAGATATATTTCAGAAAAGAAAAGAAAAAAAGAAAAACTAAACTCTGCAGGAACTCGGCGATGCTGTTCACGTATTGTCATCTGATTATAGGAAAACACATTTAATTGCAAAGGAAATAGGTGCAATCAAGATAATTATTGCATGATGTACACTTTTTGTTCCTTGTTTTGATTGTGTTGGACGTGTAAACCCAGAGGCAAGTTTCATCCTTCTTTGCTCATATCATTAAGTTGAAGTTTCTTTTGTTCCTCCTCTTCTCTCTCCTCTAAAACTTCATCTCCTTCACCCACAAATCATCCTGCTCTCAGCGTGTCAGCGAGAATGTGTCTTTATGTTATATTTACTTCACCTGTGGCCTATCTAGGCCAAGCGAGTGCTCTCACATCTGTGCTTGCATCCATCACGGCTAAAAAACGTTGACTGGATGTGACGCACTCTAACCCCTCTGGACTGCTGCCACTGGTCTCATTACACACAGTCTGCCGCAGACACACACAAGTACACACAGACACACACTCCTCCCACTCACCGCTGGCTCTCCTGTTGAAGCTGTGCGAGCTGGTGCAGGCGTCTGAGAGCCTTCTCCTGTTTGCGTTGGTCCTTCCACGATTTGGAGGCCACGTTGCGAACAAACTCCCTGTGCTGCAGCTCCTTCAGCCTCTGCAGGGGGGTTGGGGGCAGGGTGGGGGGACGCATGGAGGGGTAATGACAAGTGGGAGATTAGTTTTAGTAAGCTCTCTGCATGTGGCCATCTCTTAAACCATCAGCGAGCGGCGTTTGCAGATGTTCGCCCCTAAAGCTCATGTGCAATTAACTTCATTCAGGCTCAAATAAAGGGTCTCTCAACCCACAGCGGGACCCCCCCCCCCAAAAAAATAAAATAAAATAAAAAACACTAGCAAACACACACAGATGGCGTTGTCATGTACGAGTAACTGAACAGTCGGAGGGACATTTTATACCCTTTCTTTTTTRTTTTTCTGGTTCAAATGTTGCACTTTCGAGTTTTAAATCAAATATTCAGCTCAGTTTTATTTGTTGCAGGTTGTCGATGTCTGCAGTGGCAACAGGGAAAAAAAATACAAAAAGCAAGAGAAAACAAAAAGCTACAGCAAAGAAAAACATTTCCCAGAACAACAGCATAAAAAACAGAAAATGTCAGACCCCGCTATGTTTCAGAAGACTTGAGATTTTTAGAACAACACAACTCGAAACATAATAATGTTTCCACAAACACTAAAAAACATGAAAAGCTCTGATTACAGAGAAAAAAAGAATAAATAAAAATAAAGCAGAAAGGTTTTTTAAAATGTAACTCTTTCTCATGTATTTATTTATTTAATACTTTAAATTTGATGTGATGCTTTATTGTGTTTTTGACTCATTTTCTTTATTGCTTTARGGTTTTACACTTTCGATTTTCACTCAACACCAAAGCACAGATGTGTTTTTTTTTTGTCACAAGTTCAATTCCCGTGTGGAGTTGAAGTAGTTGTTTTGGTTGGTTTATTTCATTTAGTTTAGCTTTTGAGACTGTGATTTGAGGAATTTTATTTTATTTTTGTGACTTCTCATACAGAGTCTATCATACTCGAGAAATAAAGTTTTAAAATTCTCAACAAAATTARGACACCCACTAAGGAATGAGGGATTGTAATTTGTTTTTTGTTGCATCGCAATGACAAGAATTGTCTGAATCAGTTTCTACACATCAAAATGGATGATTACTTAATGTGAATAACAAATACTGACAACAGTGTACATATCAAACTCATTGTGTAGCTCAGTAAACATATTCTTTGTGATTTATGTGAATTTATGCTTAAATACTGCAGCTTCCTGCAGTGTTGCACCATTTTTTCTGTCTATATGTTTCAAAACCAATGCATTTATCTTTTTTTATATCAGGGATCATCAGCTGGTGGTCCCTGGCCCACATCCTTCAAGCTAGTTGCATTTGGCTCAGAAGTATTCAATTATTAACAAATCTAACAGTAATCAGTTCAGTTCTTACAGCACTTGATCCGACCTGACTGAGAAACTGGAACAGTAGAAAACCTGCATTCATGAAGATATACTGTATATATACACTGTATGTATATACCTTCTGGAAAGGAAGATG